TCAGTCATAAGCTTTCTCTTATTTATTCTCTGTCGTCGTCACATGTACCTGGCTGTCTGACACTGACAAGTGTATACTCTCGTGTCTTTGTGCCTGTGTGTGTTCGTGTGTTCGTGTGTATGTCTACCCGCTCGTATTGCACAGCTCTCTCTCTCTCTCTCTCTCTGTCTATGTGTCTGTCTGCTTGTCTATCTCGCTCTCTCCCTCCCCTTCTCCCTCTCTGTCGCCGTCGCTCTACTCACTAAACTCCCACACACTCCTCTACCCGTGACCAGATGCACGCTGAGCACATGGAAATACTCATTACAATATTTACAATTATCACAATACTCAAAATATCCATAAAAGTCAGAGTGACAATCATGACTGTAATATTGGTGATGAAGTTCATAGCTTTAACGATGACATAATTTCTGATATCCATAATAATCATAATCATAATAGTAATAATTATAACAACAATAATAAAATCAATTATTATGATTATTGTTGGAAATTTATTATTATTATTAATACTACTATAATCATTACTATTACAAACGTTGTCATCTTCAATACAAATATTATTATTAGTATTATCATTATCACTACTATTATCAGGCGTATATTAACAACATGAGGATAACAACTTCAATACCACCGACTACAGCTGTAGGATTAGTAGAAGTAGTAGTCGCCTTAGTAGTGTTAGTATTAGAATCGCTAGGAATAGTAGTATCGGTGGTGGTGGTGTTGGTGGTGGTGGTGGTCTCAGTGGTAATTTTCGCAGTAGCATCAGTAGTATCGTTAGTACTGGTGTTGATGGTAGAGTTTGAAGAACCGATGACAGTGATTATTATAATCACCAATATTTGTGAGATCACTTCGAATATTGTAACAATGTTAAGAATAATATTGATACGCATGACGAAGTATTGTCTTGATAAATGGAAGAATATTGATGGGAATAATGATGGAATGAAGAGGAAGGAATAGGTGGATGAGAATGGTGGTGATAATTGTCTGGTGCTGGTACGGCTGCTTATCCCACCGGTGTTGGTGATACCGATTGTGAGAAATGATATTGACAATGCCACCTAGCATTTACTTTGACTCCACTGCAGACATTTCGGGGCGAAACACGTAAGGCGCATTGAAGAAAGCGGGACAGTTGTCTGCAGTCTGCCCAAAGTGTCTGCAATGCTAACTGGGATGTCCATTCGTCTTAGCACTTGTTATCATACAGCAAGTGGTCGGCTGCACATTATGTCCAACAAATACAGCGAACGAGACTAGAGCGGTGTGATGATGTGAGGTGATGATTCATTGATTCATTGATTGATTGATTGATTGATTGATTGACTGATTGATTGATTGGCAACAGTCATAGTCCAGTTGGCCAATTGGTGCTGGAGATGTCGGTGTATGTCTCATGAGTGGTTGGCTGAGTGGTGTTATTCTGAAGCCGCCTATATATTTGCGTTTGAATGGAGAATTGGTTAGCCAGTTAGTGTGTCCGACGCCCGATCATCACCAGTGAAGTTTGAGACTTGGAGTTGGCTGTAATACACCGCACAAGTGTACGCTATGAAGGAAGGGGTGATCGAGGTCCGCAGATAGCTGTCTGTGATATACGACGAGTGGAGTCTGTAATTAATTGGCTTCGATTACCACTCACTTGTCGACGGTTGGTGTACACTCTGTCTGGTCGGGATGATGGCGTCTGCCAGTTGGTGAGTGTGATGGTGTGAAGAAGAGAATTGTCAAAAGTGCCACCGCGTCGCCACATCGATGCGTGTGGAGATGCCGGGGATCGAACCCGGGACCTCTCGCATGCGAAGCGAGCGCTCTACCACTGAGCTACATCCCCACAGTCGTGAGGACAGCGTCAACACTCATGAAAACAACTGTGTATATTCGACTGAAATTATTCTCATCTACCTGTATTCCCTTGACACGCACGAAGGCACAAACACACCTGGTGCAGTCAGTCAGTCATTCATTCACTCATCGACTCACTGACATACGATGACTACGACCAGCAGATTGACAGCTTAATGACACGGAGTGCAGAGTTGCGAGAATGGAGTGAATGTGGTATGGGATTAGATGAAGTGTTGTGGGTGGCGCAGAGTGGCCTAGTGGTCTAGGGGTATGATACTCGCTTTGGGTGCGAGTGGTCCCGGGTTCGAATCCCGGCTGGGCCCGTGCTTTTCATACCATTAGTCAGTCATAAGCTTTCTCTTATTTATTCTCTGTCGTCGTCACATGTACCTGGCTGTCTGACACTGACAAGTGTATACTCTCGTGTCTTTGTGCGTGTGTGTGTTCGTGTGTTCGTGTGTATGTCTACCCGCTCGTATTGCACAGCTCCTCTCTCTCTCTCTCTCTGTCTATGTGTCTGTCTGCTTGTCTATCTCGCTCTCTCCCTCCCCTTCTCCCTCTCTGTCGCCGTCGCTCTACTCACTAAACTCCCCACACTCCTCTACCCGTGACCAGATGCACGCTGAGCACATGGAAATACTCATTACAATATTTACAATTATCACAATACTCAAAATATCCATAAAAGTCAGAGTGACAATCATGACTGTAATATTGGTGATGAAGTTCATAGCTTTAACGATGACATAATTTCTGATATCCATAATAATCATAATCATAATAGTAATAATTATAACAACAATAATAAAATCAATTATTATGATTATTGTTGGAAATTTATTATTATTATTAATACTACTATAATCATTACTATTACAAACGTTGTCATCTTCAATACAAATATTATTATTAGTATTATCATTATCACTACTATTATCAGGCGTATATTAACAACATGAGGATAACAACTTCAATACCACCGACTACAGCTGTAGGATTAGTAGAAGTAGTAGTCGCCTTAGTAGTGTTAGTATTAGAATCGCTAGGAATAGTAGTATCGGTTTGGTGGTGGTGGTGGTCTCAGTGGTAATTTTCGCAGTAGCATCAGTAGTATCGTTAGTACTGGTGTTGATGGTAGAGTTTGAAGAACCGATGACAGTGATTATTATAATCACCAATATTTGTGAGATCACTTCGAATATTGTAACAATGTTAAGAATAATATTGATACGCATGACGAAGTATTGTCTTGATAAATGGAAGAATATTGATGGGAATAATGATGGAATGAAGAGGAAGGAATAGGTGGATGAGAATGGTGGTGATAATTGTCTGGTGCTGGTACGGCTGCTTATCCCACCGGTGTTGGTGATACCGATTGTGAGAAATGATATTGACAATGCCACCTAGCATTTACTTTGACTCCACTGCAGACATTTCGGGGCGAAACACGTAAGGCGCATTGAAGAAAGCGGGACAGTTGTCTGCAGTCTGCCCAAAGTGTCTGCAATGCTAACTGGGATGTCCATTCGTCTTAGCACTTGTTATCATACAGCAAGTGGTCGGCTGCACATTATGTCCAACAAATACAGCGAACGAGACTAGAGCGGTGTGATGATGTGAGGTGATGATTCATTGATTCATTGATTGATTGATTGATTGATTGATTGATGATTGATTGATTGGCAACAGTCATAGTCCAGTTGGCCAATTGGTGCTGGAGATGTCGGTGTATGTCTCATGAGTGGTTGGCTGAGTGGTGTTATTCTGAAGCCGCCTATATATTTGCGTTTGAATGGAGAATTGGTTAGCCAGTTAGTGTGTCCGACGCCCGATCATCACCAGTGAAGTCTGAGACTTGGAGTTGGCTGTAATACACCGCACAAGTGTACGCTATGAAGGAAGGGGTGATCGAGGTCCGCAGATAGCTGTCTGTGATATACGACGAGTGGAGTCTGTAATTAATTGGCTTCGATTACCACTCACTTGTCGACGGTTGGTGTACACTCTGTCTGGTCGGCATGATGGCGTCTGCCAGTTGGTGAGTGTGATGGTGTGAAGAAGAGAATTGTCAAAAGTGCCACCGCGTCGCCACATCGATGCGTGTGGAGATGCCGGGGATCGAACCCGGGACCTCTCGCATGCGAAGCGAGCGCTCTACCACTGAGCTACATCCCCACAGTCGTGAGGACAGCGTCAACACTCATGAAAACAACTGTGTATATTCGACTGAAATTATTCTCATCTACCTGTATTCCCTTGACACGCACGAAGGCACAAACACACCTGGTGCAGTCAGTCAGTCATTCATTCACTCATCGACTCACTGACATACGATGACTACGACCAGCAGATTGACAGCTTAATGACACGGAGTGCAGAGTTGCGAGAATGGAGTGAATGTGGTATGGGATTAGATGAAGTGTTGTGGGTGGCGCAGAGTGGCCTAGTGGTCTAGGGGTATGATACTCGCTTTGGGTGCGAGTGGTCCCGGGTTCGAATCCCGGCTGGGCCCGTGCTTTTCATACCATTAGTCAGTCATAAGCTTTCTCTTATTTATTCTCTGTCGTCGTCACATGTACCTGGCTGTCTGACACTGACAAGTGTATACTCTCGTGTCTTTGTGCCTGTGTGTGTTCGTGTGTTCGTGTGTATGTCTACCCGCTCGTATTGCACAGCTCTCTCTCTCTCTCTCTGTCTCTGTCTCTGTCTATGTGTCTGTCTGCTTGTCTATCTCGCTCTCTCCCTCCCCTTCTCCCTCTCTGTCGCCGTCGCTCTACTCACTAAACTCCCCACACTCCTCTACCCGTGACCAGATGCACGCTGAGCACATGGAAATACTCATTACAATATTTACAATTATCACAATACTCAAAATATCCATAAAAGTCAGAGTGACAATCATGACTGTAATATTGGTGATGAAGTTCATAGCTTTAACGATGACATAATTTCTGATATCCATAATAATCATAATCATAATAGTAATAATTATAACAACAATAATAAAATCAATTATTATGATTATTGTTGGAAATTTATTATTATTATTAATACTACTATAATCATTACTATTACAAACGTTGTCATCTTCAATACAAATATTATTATTAGTATTATCATTATCACTACTATTATCAGGCGTATATTAACAACATGAGGATAACAACTTCAATACCACCGACTACAGCTGTAGGATTAGTAGAAGTAGTAGTCGCCTTAGTAGTGTTAGTATTAGAATCGCTAGGAATAGTAGTATCGGTGGTGGTGGTGTTGGTGGTGGTGGTGGTCTCAGTGGTAATTTTCGCAGTAGCATCAGTAGTATCGTTAGTACTGGTGTTGATGGTAGAGTTTGAAGAACCGATGACAGTGATTATTATAATCACCAATATTTGTGAGATCACTTCGAATATTGTAACAATGTTAAGAATAATATTGATACGCATGACGAAGTATTGTCTTGATAAATGGAAGAATATTGATGGGAATAATGATGGAATGAAGAGGAAGGAATAGGTGGATGAGAATGGTGGTGATAATTGTCTGGTGCTGGTACGGCTGCTTATCCCACCGGTGTTGGTGATACCGATTGTGAGAAATGATATTGACAATGCCACCTAGCATTTACTTTGACTCCACTGCAGACATTTCGGGGCGAAACACGTAAGGCGCATTGAAGAAAGCGGGACAGTTGTCTGCAGTCCGCCCAAAGTGTCTGCAATGCTAACTGGGATGTCCATTCGTCTTAGCACTTGTTATCATACAGCAAGTGGTCGGCTGCACATTATGTCCAACAAATACAGCGAACGAGACTAGAGCGGTGTGATGATGTGAGGTGATGATTCATTGATTCATTGATTGATTGATTGATTGATTGATTGATTGACTGATTGATTGATTGGCAACAATCATAGTCCAGTTGGCCAATTGGTGCTGGAGATGTCGGTGTATGTCTCATGAGTGGTTGGCTGAGTGGTGTTATTCTGAAGCCGCCTATATATTTGCGTTTGGATGGAGAATTGGTTAGCCAGTTAGTGTGTCCGACGCCCGATCATCACCAGTGAAGTCTGAGACTTGGAGTTGGCTGTAATACACCGCACAAGTGTACGCTATGAAGGAAGGAGTGATCGAGGTCCGCAGATAGCTGTCTGTGATATACGACGAGTGGAGTCTGTAATTAATTGGCTTCGATTACCACTCACTTGTCGACGGTTGGTGTACACTCTGTCTGGTCGGGATGATGGCGTCTGCCAGTTGGTGAGTGTGATGGTGTGAAGAAGAGAATTGTCAAAAGTGCCACCGCGTCGCCACATCGATGCGTGTGGAGATGCCGGGGATCGAACCCGGGACCTCTCGCATGCGAAGCGAGCGCTCTACCACTGAGCTACATCCCCACAGTCGTGAGGACAGCGTCAACACTCATGAAAACAACTGTGTATATTCGACTGAAATTATTCTCATCTACCTGTATTCCCTTGACACGCACGAAGGCACAAACACACCTGGTGCAGTCAGTCAGTCATTCATTCACTCATCGACTCACTGACATACGATGACTACGACCAGCAGATTGACAGCTTAATGACACGGAGTGCAGAGTTGCGAGAATGGAGTGAATGTGGTATGGGATTAGATGAAGTGTTGTGGGTGGCGCAGAGTGGCCTAGTGGTCTAGGGGTATGATACTCGCTTTGGGTGCGAGTGGTCCCGGGTTCGAATCCCGGCTGGGCCCGTGCTTTTCATACCATTAGTCAGTCATAAGCTTTCTCTTATTTATTCTCTGTCGTCGTCACATGTACCTGGCTGTCTGACACTGACAAGTGTATACTCTCGTGTGTTTGTGTTTTTGGCGGACTCTGTTTTTTGTTTGTAAGTTTTTGTTAGATTTCTTTGGTTGATCTGTACGCTCTTAATCTTTTTCATATTCTTCGTCTTTTTTATATTTGTGTTTTTCTATTTTTAAGGATATTGAGGATTCTTTTTCGCATGTTTTTATGGAATAGAACGTTTTCTCTTTTTATTTTATGTATTTATTAAATGAATATTATCGTGCGTTTTGTCTATTATTTCTTCTGCCGATTCTTGTGGTGTTTTTCTGAACTCTTCTTTCTCTATTGTTATATATAGTTTTTTTTGACTGTGTTGTTAATATTTTCTTTTATTTGTTTTTTTTTTAATCGCACCGTGTTTCCTAGGTTTTATTTTTGTTTCCGGTCCATAGCCCGTTTAATTGAACGGACTTTTTGGGGCTAGCAATCTTACACCAGAAATCCTCTCAAACCGATAGAGTAACTTCAGCATACAGAAAATATTTTAAAAATAGGAAAACTTCAATTAAAATCGTATTCTTAGCTAGAATCGGAGAGTCGAAATGACGTGGTTTAATGAAAACCTTCGGGAATCCAGTAACCCGATGTCTCTTCTCTCGATGAAAGCAAGATTAAGAATGGTTACGGAGGACGCCTTTACAATATACGAGACTGGGAAGGCTGCCTAAGTTGCTGGCGAAGTGCGAAGATATCGCTTAGTAGTACTGGGTATCTGCGAAAGCAGATGGAATGGATGTGGACTGACAACATTGTCAACGAAAGAGTCAATATTCTACTCCAGTCTGATCACCCAAACGATAACCACGAGCACATTGAGGCAGTGAGTGACTATCATCATGTCACCAGTGTCAGCCAAAGCCCTAATGCAGTGGGAACCAATTTCATCCCGCAGTATATTGACAGCAAGATTCAACTCAAAAGGAAGGCAGGAAGGTAAAAATTATCCAATGCTACGCACAATGTTACAAAGAATTCGGAAAAAGACAAGAAGGAAGATTTCTACAGTCAACTACAAAGAGTAATGGACAACACCCCAAATGGAGACATCAAAATCCTCATGGGCGATTTGAATGCCAGATGAACTGGGAGCAGATAATACAGGAATAGAACTCATCATGGGTGGAAAGGCACTAACTAGGCGAAATGAATAAGAGCGGAAAATTATTCGCAAACTTCTTCCCTTTCAACGATTTGGTGATCGGAGAAAGAGCGTACAAACACAAGGATATACACAAAGCAACATGCATTTCGCCTGACGGACACACCACGAACCAGATAGATTTCATCTCAGTGTTGCTCAAGGAAATAAAGTTGGAGTGAGTCTGCTGGACACAAAGTCGAGGAGGGAAGCAGATGTGAGCTCAGACCATCATCTAGTTCAAGGAGCCTTCAAGGTTTAGCTAAAATCCATGAAAACAACTGGATACAGGACGCAATTCAAGTTCAACATTCAGAAACTGAAGGACAAAACCATAAGGGACTCAGCAACAACACCAATCACCATCAAAGGGAGAGATTTAAGAGAGGTTAATTCCTTCACTTATCTGGAAAGCATCTTTTCAACTACAGACGAAACGGATAATGTCACTGCTGGCCAGTCAGAATCGGAAAGATATGATACGCATTCATCAACCTGAAACCAGTTTGGAAATGTTCTACTATCAGCATAAAGGACAAGATTCAGATTTTCAACACAAATGTTAGGTCAGTTATTTCTTCCATACGGTTTAGAATCTTGCACTGCGTGTCACGAAAAGGATTTCCAAAAAGTTGCAGACTTTTACGAACAGCTGCTTCCGCTCCACACTGAAGATCAAATGGCCAGGCAGAAAGAATTAGTAACAAGAAACTGTGGGAACAAACTAACCAAGAACCTATCATTCCAAAAATATGTAGGAGAAAATGAAGATTGATCAGGCATACATTGAGGAGATTGTCAAATGACATCTGGCGTCAGTTCGAGAGTAACATGGAGGAGATGAGAGATTATGGTTAATCATGGGCCCAGATGAAGAGAACAGCAGAGAATAGGATAAAGTGGAGATGCGCTGTTAAAGCCCTATGCTTCACTCGGAACCCAAGGGGATAATAATAACAATGATAATCTCTTATGGTTTTTGAATATTTCTGAGGTTGTCATTAAAATGTGTCCCTTTGGTTCTCTTTTATGATGTTTTGAGTGTTGTGTGTATTCTTTACTTGTATTTGTGTGTTTAATTCATTTTTATCCTGATCTTGTCTTGATTTCTCTTTTCATCTTTCGTTTACAGTCTTTTGTCTGGCCGACATTTCATTTTTCATCCTATCTACAGATGCTTCTCAATAGTTTTCATCTTTATATATGTCCAAACCAAGTTCACTTTTAACAATTTGAAAAAATTTAGGCATTGGGTATATGATATTCATTATAATAAAGGTTTTTGTATTTCCCAATGAATGAAAAACAAAAACGATATTGTTTTTACTGACGTTTCGCTATTTAATGCTAATAGCTTTACCAAAGTGTTATTAAACCGGAATTTACAAAATCTCAGCATATAAATAACAAAGAGTTAAGGGGTGAGATATTCATTGTTATTTTGACTTTCAATATGTCCTTTTAACTTGACCTAAGCAAGTGGAGGCGTGCAGTTGAAGCCCTATGTTCCACTAGGAACCCAAGGGAACAATAATATAATATATATATATATATATTCCCATAGTAAAATTTAGAACAACACATTTAAGCGAACAATATTGTTTTCAATTAGATCTCATCAGGCTTAACTCTAATATATATATAAGTTTACAAATAAAAATTCAAATATTAACCAATCATGGTGTTTTGTCTATAGGATAATACGATGGTGAATATAAATTGTGTAATTAGCTCCATTATGGGTAAATTTTATTTTTATAGAGTCTCACAGTGTTATACAGTAATATTTACTGATGACGTTTCGAGCACAATTTATTGCTCATAATCATATCAAGTGAATCACACGACTTCCTAAATTCATTTATATAGTTCCATTGTTTTTCACTTGATTTTCACTTGATTTGATTGGTAGTATTATTTTCCATATCTCGGGTATGAGTGATGATTCATTCCTATTGCATGTGTTGGGTGTAGATTCGATGAACAAAGATTCAGTAATCAACCTCTCTCTCCACCTACCTAGATTACTTTTTAGAATTTTAACCCTCTCCCACCCTATTGTGTGGTTGTGTGTTAATGCATGCATTGCAATTGCCGAGCTTTTTTCTAAATTACTTATCTTCTCTGGGTCAACCATTCTTACCTTAGCTAAATTCTTATGTTCTGACAATCTGACTACCCCTGACCTACTAGTTTGACCTATGTAGTTGACCTCACAGTCATTGCAGGGTATTTTGTAAATTATATTATTTTGTCTAATTGGGTCCACTGGGTCCTTTAACCTACAGAGCTTGTCCCTGAGTGAGTTTGTAGGTTTAAATGCCACCCTAATTCCTGCTTTATTTAGAATCCTACGTAGGGTCTCAGATGTCCCCTCTTTATATGGTATAACTGTAGATGACTTATATTCTCTCTTATTTATGCTATTACTACTAGTTTCACAATTCTTTTTATTTTTCTTTTGGTGTTTTTCAATCTTC